TGGTGGCGGCGGTTGAATTGCTCCAATTCTCCGGCTATGCAAAGCAATAGGCTCAGTGTGAGTCGGTGCCTCGTATACGCGCCGAGGCACGTAAGCTGCCCTGCCAGTTCTGATGGATTCCGCGTCTTGCGGAGGTTCCTCTTCCGAGCTGTAGGCGTCGAGGCGGAAGTGCTCCGCTGGCGCTGGGCGTCGATCTGGAGATCGTGATCGCGAGCTCGTGGATGATCTTCTTGGGGGATCTCTCCACGTCTCGTCCGCGAGCGAGTACGGATCAGCCTGACGGAGTTGTCCGGATGTTCGCTTTGCTCGGCGGTGAGATGTCGCCTCACGTGGCTGTGAAGCCTCCCGAACGAGTACCCAGGTGCCGTGCTCGTCAAATCGTGTCACAGGGTATATGCTGTTCTGTGGAGCCAAAACGATGGGCCGTGTGGCAAGGGAAGTCCTGGATGGCCTGCCCTCCCGCGCAAGCGCGGGTTCAACACTGTGTGCCCGTTGTTCCACAGGGGTAGCAGCAGTTGGTCCTCGTCTCGGAGATGATGATGGAGACCTCGGCCTTCGGGACGATGGGGACCTCGATCTTTGTGTTGACCGTTCCCTGCTGCTCTCCCGCCGCGTTTCCGCAGCTTTAGCGTACACCCCGCGAAGCGCTGTCTTGGCGGCGCCCCGCAACACTTGTCGTTCCTCTGCGGATGGTCGAATGCGAGGCAAAGGAGTGCGCGAATCTTGTAGCCAGGATGAAGCTGAGGGAGGCGTCGGAGGGCGTAGCCAGTCCGCTGCACTGCCTGCTGCCTCTGCCGCGCCTGAGGCTGCGGCTTGATCCTGAGATTGCACACCTTGCGGCAAGACCACACCTGTGGTTTCAACCGATGCGAGACGCTGCTGATAAGCGTTGTCCGCGGCCTGGATCACTTCGAAGGCCTCTTGGTCAAAATCCCACAGGTGCCAACTATCCAATGACTCACGCCAGGAAAAGAGCGCCTCGACCTGTTGCTTCGAGGCGTCTGCAAACCTGACCCACCGGAATCGTCTGTTCTGTCGCTTGTACTCGTCGACGACGATCTGCTGCAGAGTATTGAAAAGACGGGCACGCGGCCCTTTCCCACCGCGAGTGCCGCGGTGAGGGCCGGCTTCCATGTGCGACCAAACGGTCGCAGTCACGGAGGGGTTTGTTTACCCGAAAAGCGTTACGGCTGATAACCACTCAAAGGAGAGGGAAACACAGTTTTGTCAACAACGGGGGAACCCGGGACCTTAAAAGGAACGAACCCCTCCGTGACTGCGACCTCTCCCTTAACCTTGTGGCAGCGCGTGCAACGCGCTCTTTTCTTGAGCCAAAGCAATGACATGTGATCATGTCACTGATCTTGTACCTTGCAAACATGAGTGCCTACCTCATGAACCTCTGGGCCATAAATGTCATCGTGATAATTGACTTATGGACTACGAAATGCCAACTGACCGTGTCGCCTAACTCGTTTCTGTGAAACAACTTCTATCAAGTAGGGCAGCAGTAATTAGAGTATATGTTGTTTTTTGTTTAATGTTGCTCGATCATTTCTCTCGGCCAGGACAGCCCAAATAAACGGTCCATGCATGCCAGTAAAAGAGTGGTTATGCTGACGGATGTTTGTATGATCTGTGATCGTTTGCTTCACCTGATTCACTGATGCAAGCTGTATACGCTATGCAATATGACCCAGTATTCGATGGGCTTGACAAAGTTGCTTCTTCCCCATCAGATTTATTTTCCACAAACATGGCGACATTCCGAGCATTGAGCTTAAGCGATGCCCGCCTAAGTGGATACCGGAAACGGGCAAAAGCGTCCTACGCCGCGCTAGAGCCTTTCCTGGAGCACGACAAAGAAGCTGTGGCAAACACATAGCAACGCACTCTGCGCAGGCCCCAAACAATTTGGATTCAGGCAGCCCAAATCTAGATCTCAATCCAAGCATTGCTCAATCACGGCGATGAAACTGTGAGGTTTGGTTCCCACCCTTCTGCATTGCGAGCAAGCAACGTGTCAGTCGCGAGACATGTCATGTCTTCGCGCTTTTTGCACTTCATTTGAAAACAGATCCTCGCAAAAGCACGCTGGCTGTCAAGAATTGACTTACACCACTGGCTGGTGTCTTTGAAGATGCAAGACACCCCAAACATGATCAGAGCAGAAAAAAACACAGCCAGCGCTGATGCGTTCGCGATTGGCTTGGCAGGATCCCCAGCATTCGCTGGGACTCCCGCAAGACCAGATGTTCCGCACGTTAACATGCTGACCTCTTGCAGATCGACTTGAGATAAATTCTGCACACGCATCTGAAGCAAGAGATCGGCGGGGACAATACCCCATACAGCAATGAAGTCACAAGAAGCTTCAAGCCTGAACACATTGTCTGACGGTTGATACGAGCCACGGTCAAACTGGTTGTGCCCCGACTGACAGGGACATTGGGGGAGCAATACTATTCACTTCTGGTGATCTGGTGCGTGTAGACCATGTCATGAGTGTGAAGGGGCCTCGCGAAGAACACACATGTAAGTAGCTGGGGATAGACTCTAATTTTTGCGGCGTCAGACTTCCACGGTCGTGTTCTCCCAGAGTCTCCTCCTCAGTTCGAAGGTCAGAGCCTCTAGGTTTTGAGAGGACTCTTCAGAGTCGTCACCAGCGTTTGGCCAAACTCCCGGGTAAACAGCTTTGCTTAAGCGGTATGATTGATGTTTTAGCCGCAACCTTGGCGTATGTCGACGCAAAGCCTGCGTGGCTATAATTGCCGACTTGCAAACGGTCAGGCTTGATCATATAATTAGGTTGCTTTTGTAAAGCTTTCCCATCTTGCCAACCGAACTTGCACAAAGCTAGCGAAGCAACGCAAGCAAGCAAAAAGGGGTAGCCAAACAGCCTCAAAACACGCTGGCAAAAGCAAGCTCGCAAAGCAAGGAAAGAGCAAGCCAGCAAGCCGGACAAGCCGGACCAGCAAGCAAGCAGGCAAGCAAGCAAGCCAGCCAGCCAGCGAGCGAGCGAGCAAGCGAGCAAGCAAGCAGTGCAAATCAAAGCAAAGCGAAACCAATCGAAGCAAAGCGAAGGAAATGGAAGTAAAGCAAGGCCAAGCGGAGCAAATTAAAGCAAAGCAAGCTCTTCCGTTCAGCCTTGCAAGCCAGCAACCAACTGATCCACCAAGTGTGACCCTGGCTGCATCGCAATAAACCCATGCCGTTGACACCCAGCACTGCCACGGCGATTGGCTAAGCTGCCCCTGACTCTGTGAGTTCGTTGATCCGAGAAACTTGCCCACTAAGTCTACATGAGAGCCAGATTGCCTCTACCGCTGGAAAAGATACCGAGGATTGTTCAACAACGAACTGTAGGCCTAGCCCTGGCTTGGCAATCCTAAGCCAAGGACCCAAACAGTTTACTACGAAGTGTCACCTCCTGCCAACAAGAGCAACAGCTGGATCATCCTGTCTCAGAAGGCAAGCCTGACGTACAGCAGTCACCCATTTAGCCACCGCACACTCTGAGCGCTTTGCACTGGAGAGCCGAAACGGGCGAGGCAGCCCTGGCAAGCATGCCGCAGTTTTTGTTTGCCGCGGGCAAAACGTCTGACGTCTGGTTGTCGGCTCTCCTTGTGACCAACATTCAATCCCGCATTCTGTGGAACCACTCAAAAAGCAGAGTATGATGGTCTGAAGGACCAGTGTGGGCCAAACAACTAATCCCCTACTAGAGCGTCTGAATCACGTGGCTGAATCGTGTGGATTTCTTCGTCAAGTTGCGCCAATACTGAAATCATCTTGAAGATCCTCTTTCTTTGTTCCTGTGCTCAGGGTCCGCGTTGATTGGATTGTGATTATCAGCCCTTAGATACCCCAAGAAGTCACAACCTGTGTCTTCCGAAGCTTTGGCAAGAAACAATGACTCTCGTCCCTGTGAAGAGACCATTCTAGCCCCCAATGGAAGCCTCGGATTCGGGTAACGGTGTTTTTTTGAATGCTAGGGCTGATGTTTTTCCCTCGGGCTGGTTTTCCGCAGGGCTGGCAACATCCCCAGCATCACCAGTATGACTTGCCCCTGGGGCCGCCAACCAACCAGGGGACCAACCAACCAGGGCAACAGCCCCAGTAAAAAACCAGCCTAGGGAAGAAAAAAAAAACGTATCCTCAAATTCGCACTCATTAATAAAAAAACGAAAAGAACAACAAACAACAATTTGAGCCTGCTTTAGGAGAACTTGCAAACATCTGTCTGGGTGGAATGCGCTCAAACAGATTGTGTTCTCGGATGCCACACGAAGCTACGCGCACATGATTGTCCCATGTGATGCAAGCTGGAATCTGTCTGTTAGAACAAACTTAGAATTCCCTGATCTGTCATGGGCACAAGCAGCGTCCCTGCACAGGCCCCTTTCAGAGACTCAAGCCACTTGCCTGAAATTCGTCGTCTGCTGGTTCGCATTGGCCATAACAAACCTGAAAGCTGCAGAATGCCGGCCAGCAAAAACACCTACAATTGTGAAGCGAGAAGCTCAGAAGGGCACGCTCAAGGATGCACTCTTCAGACATACACATGATTTTGCCAATGGCTTGCCTAATCTATCTGGATAATTGTTCTGTCTTGATCCAATATCATGCTGGTTCGGGTCACCCGAGCCGGCAAGACGTGATCACAAGTGTTCATGGGAGTTCGAGCGATCAAGGACCCAGCATTTGTAAGTTGCTGGTCGCTGTATTCCACGGCAGTGACCTGGCAATAGGCATGGGCCGATCTCTGATCCGCAACAGCGCCCACGTGGCTGTGGCTCCAAAACATGTGACAAAGTGGCACCTTGGTAAATGGAGCCAAAGACAGAAACCTGCGTAACCCTGGCTCTTTAATTTTGAGCCACACCCACGTGTTGCTGCTGAAATCAGGATCCGCAACTAACTTGAATCTCTCATCACTTCCCGCAATCACATTGTGTGTTTCTCAGGGCAAGGATCCCCATTTGATCAAACGTGCCCACTTAGCGACGACGTTTGTTGGTGTCGCCTTTCACGCTAAAGCAACGCATCAGCACCTTGCTGGGAAAGTAGTAGTCCATGTTGTAGAGGTCTCTACCTTCGAGCAAATGGATAAGCCACGAAGAGGGCATGGCAATCAACTTCTTTCAGGGTGACCCTTGTCTACATGCTTCCATAGGGCTCCCTATGTTTCTCCCATCACCCGGCGGAAACACACTTCAAATTGGCCGAAATCAAATTAATGATCAATACTGCCAGTAAAATCCCTCATGTTGAACCCTAAACTAAGGACTAGATCCAGCGGGGCTTGCGCAACAAGTCTGGTTTTCCACACAGTGCCCGAGGAGTTTTGTTGCGGCAGAAAAAAACAACAACAAAAAACGACAGAACATTGGCTCTAGATGGCACCCTCGACTGCTGCTCACCTCAGTGCGGGAATAACACCTGCTGCCACAAGTGCTATGACCAACAGCATCTTGTGTAATTAGGTGAGACAAAAACGGGGGGGCGGCACGCACACAAACACGCACAAACAAACAAACAAACAAACAAACAAACAAACAAGCAAGCAAGCAAACAAACAAACACACCCACACACACACACACACAGACACACCCTTTCGCGAACCGAGAGAAGACGGCCTCCCAACAGGTTACGCGAAAACGTTCGCAAATTACATTGAGTATCCGCGAAGGGGCTCGCGTAACCACATATTTCGGATTTTCATGGACCAAGGTTCCGCTAAATTCACGAAGGGTGGTTGTAGTGTACGGGTACCCCGGCGTGTTTGTCTGTCAGGGGAACACGACACGGCTCGCCCTGCATATGCCTGCGTGCATAGGCTTAGCTTACCTTCTTTTCGGCACGCTGCCGAAAAGTTGGCAAATCATTGCTGCCGAAGATCCTGTCTTGTCGGAGGTGGGCAGGTCAACCCACCGCAGCGGAATCATGTCTGACTGCGAGTCCTTGATTGAGATCCTTGGTGAGACAACTCCTCTGCAGTGAGCTTGCTGGTCCGGCAATCATTTATCTGAAGGCCCAGTGCGTCTAACTCACACAAATGGCACTGAACAGTACACTGATGCCTCTTTGAAGTCTTTTTCCCAAAACAAAGCTCTGTGGGTGGGTTCTCGTTTAGTTGTCTGGCCAGGAAGCGCGCGGATCGGGGGCGGGCTTCAAGCGTGCCGAGTCCGCATGCCGCGTGAACACCGGCAAAGAAATGGCCGAACAGGCGGGGTGTGCTGGTGGGATGCGGTCCAGGGAAAGGCAGCGAGACAGCATTTGCCGCCTTGTCGTGTCCCGTTTAGCGCGTCAAAAGGCGGCGCGCCAGGTTTGCGCTTCTATGAGTTTACACGAAAGGAAAAACCAAGAGCTGGGGCTTGTTCGCATGGCTTTTGGGTTCCCAAGCTCTCCTTGTTCAATACGTACCAAACCTGGCCCTTACAAAGACTCAATCTCTTTCCTGGCTCCTTAGGCCGCGAAGTGGCAAACATACGGCTCACAGAGTCATGACTCGAGTAACCCTGCGGGCAAAGGTGTCTTCTCATCTCAGGAAAGCCGCGACTAGCTTTTCCGAGTGGGCACAAGTATCGTGCAGTATAGCCCTGCATACATGTACAATGGCCAGGCCATCAAACGAAAGAATGACACAACTCGGCCTGTCCACCCAGTCCTGCCGACCCAGTATGCCCATTGAGTTCCGCGCCGGTACTTTCGCTCCCCTTTCCTGGGTGTGTTTCTTGCAAGAACATGTTCAGACCACAAGCAAACAAGCTTGTCAAAAATACGACAGAGAGAGAGAGAGAGCGTGAGTGAGGGAGCTCTATGTGCAATTCTCTAATGCAACTCGCACCAATACAAACAAGGCTAAGGCGTTCGCCTGACACGCAAAGGATTTTCTCACATATCGCAACTTTGCAAGAAGTCCTGCAAACTGAAATTTTGACTGACGTTCCCGGTATTCCCTGTTCAGGCCTGCAAACCCGAACTCCCAGCGCAATACAAAAGGCCCACAACAAAATTCAAATGCAAGCAATGTCCAAAGATGCACTCGGCATCAAATGACTCTAGCAGCTTTCATTTAGATCCACTAGACGCCGTCATATTTGGCAAGGCCGTCTCCTCTCCACGTGCAAGATTTAGTCCCAGGCGTGGACCCTGGCACTTCCCCCGCATCTTCTACCTGCGACTCTTGATGACCCCGTGCTGAACGTCCAAACATATTGATCACATTCAACCAATAAGTATACCCAGTGGCGCGCAAAACGGAACACTAGCGATCAAACAAAATCGCAGATACTGCCATGATGCAACCACAGTGGATCGGTCCGGACACGTTGCGTTTTGCCTGACCCCGTCTGAAAACTCCTTTTGCGAGTTTGCTTGACTCTCAAATCAAACTGAAACGTCTGCATGTCTAATCAGCGCGCCTCGATGTTGACGACATTCCATATGCGAGCCTTCCGCCTACAGGTCTCGCTGATCATGCACTCAAAGCGCACCTGAGAAAGGCAAGAGAGCGCATTCATAGCGGTGTGTTGTTTGTCTCTGTCAACTTGTCGTCCTCGGGTTGCGTGTTTTTGAGCATGCAACTCATGCTGCAAATGGCTGGAAAAGATAGAAGAAAGTCCAGGATAGGTAAACCCTGTGCATAACGTCGGCCAGTAGAAATGACCTTCCTGCCTCACAAACATGCTTCAACACCTAAATTCAACCAGCCACGCGACTCCAAGAAACCTCCGTGCGCGCTTCCCTGAAGATGTCTGGCAATGTTCGAGGGATCGGTACGAGAAAGCACAAGAAAGCCATTTGCACTTATCTACAGACAGACCAGTTTTGCCTGCATTTGTGGTACTTTTGAGTTATGTTCACTTTTTTCCAGACCTCCCAGATTGGAGCCCTATTGGAGCCCTATTCCGTCAATGCATTTGTGCACAACACTTTAAAGCGTGTTAAATAATTTTGTCTGAAGCCCTACTGGAATCAATATTCAATATGATAAAAGCAAAATCAATCCTCGCAAAATACGGTGATAATACTGCCGGCTATATATATATATATATCATTAACATAAGCAACCAACCACTTAATGTTGGTCAAGGGCTCCTACAAGCGCAAGTCCGTGTAAGTCTACCTGGGCCTCAGACGCTGTTCCCTCCAATGTAGATGTTCACACGGGGGTTCCTGGCTGTGCCAAAAAGACCGTCCGAAAAAAGGGATGGTCGCGCTGTGCGCGCCTGTACACAAAGCAAGCAAGCGTGGATATCGTGGATACTCCTTCCAGTATCTACCCTTCCTCACTGTCGTGTTGGCTCATTCTCCACCAATGAGGACCCTGATTTGAGGAAGTATACCCACAAAGTATCACACCGTCTGCCTGGGCTTGAGGGTAAGCGGGGGATAGAAATCTGTTCAAAAGCGGTCTGTGTCCCTCGCCGCCCTCGGGCAGCTCCATTAAGCCCAGGGAGACATTCTGATAGACATGCCGCACAGGCAACTCAGCTCCTAGCGCGAAGTCCATGGGGGCATTCACACAAGACACCCTTGTATAAGAAAGATATTAATTAGAAGCCACAAGAAAAATCTGAGAAGCAGAGCAATCCCTCGTCGTCCGTTGAGTGCTATAGACAATAGGGAAGTCTCCTATATGGCTGTGGCTCCAAAACATGTGCCAAATTGGCACCTTGGTAAATGGAACCAAAGACAGAAACCTGCGTAGCCCTAGTCACCTAGTCAGTTAATTTTGAGCCACACCCATATATGCACTGCTCATGCCAGGGCCACGCCGCAGAGATGTCCTCTACTTGAGCACCTCAGCATATCGATGAAAAACGCGAGCGAAGCGCGACAAGCTGACTGGATGATTGAGGCACACCATGTCATGCCAACGCATCGAGATTTGCTGCCATGATTGATTGCGAGCCATCCTTCTTTCTTAACAAAAACAAAAAAACATGCACTGATGCACTATTGGTGGTTCTGGGAACAAACAAACAAATACCTTTCACGACTGCTATGTTTGCCACACCCACCTCCGTCTTCAAAATCGCACACGTTCCGAGGGAAAAACAGAGCCATGCTGAGCGTTGGCTTCACACATGATCTGGGCAAACAGAACAACTGTGACTGGCGCCTCAAAGTCAAGTGGCTAAAGAACGGCTGCTGGCGCAATGCTAACTCTTCTAAGTGTCCAAGAATGTGCCGTATCAAACACAGCTACCCTTTGCGGTTCACCGCGCTAACAGGGCTTGCCAACGGGCCCTTGAATGTGCCAGCATTTTTGCAAAGCAAACTGGATCAACATGCAGCCAACCACACAACAACCGTAACCGCAAAAGACAGCACACAGGTAGGCATGCAAGAAAACAAAAGCAAAGAAGCAAGTGAAGCAAAGCCAAGCCAAGCCAAACCCAACCAACAAACGAACCAAACCAAACCAAGCCTAACCCAACCTAAGCCCAAGCAAACAAACACAAAGCAATCCAAATTAAACTGAGCCAACCAATCAAACCAAACCAAACCAACCAGCCATGCAACCAACAAACAAGCACAAAACACGCAAACACACACACACACAACCAACAATGAAACACACTAATAAGCAAACGACGACCAATTGCAAACAAACAAACAAACAAACAAACAGGCAGGCAGACAGGCAAGCAAGCAAGCGCAAAGCAAGCGCGCAAACAGACACCAAGCAGCAACACAAACAACAAAAACAATCACACAATAATGCAAACAAGCTAAAAGTAGGCAACCAATAGCATAAATTAGCGGACAATCGCGCCAGCAAACAAAACTGACAAACCAAACAAGCGAAAACGCAAGCAAGAAGGCAAAACAAGCTAACAAACACGCAATGACAGAATGGATTGAGCAAGCAACCAATACGCGATCAAGCGCCCAAACGCGGGCAAATTCTCAAAAGCAAACACAAGCAAATACAAACATGAGAGATCTAGGATGCAAGCGCACTAGCTGCAACCAAGCAAGCAACCATTCATCTAGAAAACAACTCCCTGCAAACAATTAAACAATCAAGCAAGTAGGCATGCAAGCAATCCAGCCAAACGTGAATCAACAGCACAAACCAGCAAGCAATCAATCACACTAAATGCTTGACAAACAAACGACAAAAGGCAAGCAAGCACATCGACAAGCCAACAAAAGAACAACTACGCAAGTAATAAAAGTGATCAATATATTAAAGTAAACAAGTAAGTAAGCAAACAAATAAACAAATAAACAAACAAGCAAGCAGTCAATGAACAAACCAATCAACACAATCTAAATCAATCAAACCAATCAGTGCAATGAAAGTGATGTCGGACCTGCTTGTACGTTTGAGTGGGTCGCTTTTCTGGAACTTGCTTTTCCTATTTCAGAATCCTGTGACTGTTTCCAGGGTCGCTTTAATAGAATTTGGTTGCCAGAAGCAACAAACTCAAAGCAAGCAAACCAAGATGCCAGATCAAAGCCATAGGCTTCTACTTTTACAGGGTGGTTTGTCTAAGCCCTTCCCTCTCAAGGCCTTAGATTGGGAATGTATCTCTTTGAAGTGGTCTCCTAACCACCGATGTTTATATACATCCCTGAAGTATTGAACAACAAAGAAACAAGGCCAACCCAACGCGCAAAGGGGGTACCCCACAACAGCCCCTGATCCTCGTTAATGTGACTCTGTCAAGTGCCGCTTTAATGTCAAACGTTTTTGGAGGGTGTGACATTCCAAGATAAAAGCCGCAGCAGTGCCTTTTCATTGTGATGTATCTGAGATCTGGAATTCTGAGAGCAAGTCTTGGCAATAGACAATTTGGAACTGGCAATACACAATTCAGCATTGGCAAGTCCAAGTCCAACCCTTAATGCCTGTTGACACCTTCAACCGGGACGGGGGGCGGGACTCATATCAAATTAGGTCCAAATTTCATCAACGCCTTCAACGCAATCAACTTAATATGAAAATCAACTAAAGTCGAGTCAAATCAAACCAATCAATCAATCAATCAATCAAGTAATAAGTCGATCAACCAATCAACCAATCAACCAATCAGCCAATCAGCCAATCAACCAATCAACTAATCGATCAATCGATCGATCAATCAATCAATCAATCAAACAATCAAACAGTCAATCCATCAATCCATCAATCAATCAACCAATCGATCAAGCGATCAAGCAATCAAGCAATCAATGAACTCAAATGAATCAATCGATCAATCAATCACTCAATCAACGAGTCAGCCAGTCAATCAATAAATCAAGCAATCAAGCAATCAAGCAATCAAGCAATCCAGGAATCAAGCAATCAATCCATCAATCCATCAATCAATCAATCAAATCAATCAATCAATCAATCAATCAATCAATCAATCAATCAATCAATCAACTAACCAATCAATCAAACACTGACCACTGAACGAATGAACAAACGAACAAACGAATGAACGAACAAACGAATGAATGAATGCATGAATTAATGAATGCATGGAATATAATGGAATGGAATGGAATGGAATGGAATGCAAAAGAAATGAATGAATGAATGCATGAATGAATGAATGAATTAATGAATGACATACATGAAGGAAGAAATGCATGAATACATCCATCAAACAATCAACAGACACTACAAGTACAAGGCTTGCAAACAAATAAGCAAGCGTCTCTCTGTTTGCGGTTTGTCCCTCCGAAGCAACTAGTCAAGCAATCAAGCACATGCCAAGGCAAACCAGCAAACAATGGAAGAAGGCAAGAAATCAAACAAATGCATTCAGAATCTAGCGTAGGCACCAGCACACCAGCACACCAGCACAACCAGCACAACCAGCACAACCAGCACAACCAGCACCAGCACCAACGCACCACCAGCAGCTCTCTAAAAACTGAAGCAGCAAGGGAACACAAGCCTTACTGATGATTCTCTTCACGTGTTTGCTTGCGCAGCGAAAACAACATGTGGTCGCAAGTTCGCAAATCGCCTGGACGCATGGATTCCTCAACGACTTCCATATTGGGTGTACCGTACACATACACAACCAAACAAACCCCACTTGCCCAAGGACCTGAACATAAAAGGTTCACCTTTTGGGGCCTTTAATAAACTAAAATTGGACCAAGGGCAAAAACAGACGCTCAAACCTCTTGGGACCTTTACTAAAATTGGGCCAAAAGGGAAAACCTAAAGGTCAGATCCGTTCATTCGCTTTGAACGAATGCTGAGTGCCAGTCCCGTGGAGCTGAACTGGTTCACAACGACTTGATAGGTTCCTGTTGCGCTCACTGCCAGCGATTCTCTCAACCCATAGAAGGCTTCTGGCTCATTCCTCTGGCGAAGACCTAATTTAGAAATGCAAGGGTCCATCAATGGTCACACATTCAGAAGTCTCACAATCGTGATGCCGCGTAGCAAACCACGAGGAGCAATAACACTTCACCGAGGCCCTGTGAATGTGCTGCTTGCTGCAAACCCCCTTGTAACCTCGCGGTACCCAAAAACATCAAACCAACAAAACTCTTGCCATCTCCAGAGTATATCATGGCTGCCACTATTTCCGGAGTGCACACAAACACATGGCCAAACGCTTCGTCAGTGGGATACTGTACCGTATCGAAACCTCGCCTACTGGCACGCTCTGGAAGGTGATGGTCTCAGGGCCGAAACCAGTTCCTTGGACAATTGCGGAGTATGAAATGTGGAGTTTTGCGGCAACGAAGGCATGATGCCAAACTCCGATGTGCCGCAAATGTGGTCATTATCCAGGACGGCGTGTTGCGGTCAAGGCTCGCTTGTCAACATCCAGGACCATATGGTGTTCTGCTGTCCACTCCTCTCCAGAGCGTGCGTTGCCTTGCTTCTGCTTTCTTTTAGAAACGTCATGCGCTTAGTGGCATCCATTCCGAATTCAGATCAAATCATCGCCAACCTGCTTGCTCCATGTTCCAACTCGACCTACGGAAACCGGAATGTCGGCGTGGACCGTGGACCTGTCGTGGAAATGATCCCGAGAATAAATTGACACCGCGCAAGGCAAGGCAGCCCGGTCATATGCATCTTTGGCCCAAACCTTTTTCTTCCACCTGGCAGGCGGTCAGGTTCCACACATCTGGGCTGCATGCTTTTGGCTACGATCTCTAGTTTGACGCGGGGTGACCGCTAAGTGTAGCTGAAAGGCTGCGAACCAGCACCTTCTCCGGACAACTCCCATCCAGGGGCAGCAAAAAGCAGCAAAGGCGTGGCATGTTGAGGTTTCAAGATATCCATGTGTCAATGCAACCATTGTTTGACTTGATACCAGCATTGGACTGTCTAGGTCTGATTGGTTTGCATCACATGGGCACGAACCCGAGCGAGAATGTTCAGTCTTGCGGGCAACACTGTCCATGCAAGCAAAGCAGCCGCCAGAACAGGTGCCATCCAAGCCATCAGTCAGTCAAACCAGTCCTAAACTCACCCTGGAATCTCTGGATGGGTAAAGAGGCCTATCTATCCTAAACCCTAAATCAACTCTGACTCCTGAGCTAGACCTAAATCCCATGGTAAGTCCGGCATCAACCCATCTCATAATGATGATACGCTAACCTAAGTCCAAAATACGTGTTCCCACCGAAACTTAAACATCCGAAGTGAAGCTTGAAGCAACCCTCATCAAGCCTAGCCCTCACACCTATTAAATCCCAGAAATCCTATACCCATCAAATCGACCAAATTCACTCCTAAACCGAATCATATTCAAGCTATTTGGTCATTGATTAAGAAGTCTGCAATTGTGATCCCGGTCATTGATGGGGAACTTGTGCTTGTTGACTTGAGTTGCCAAAGCGTTTGAGGGGCCCGGTGTAGTCGTTGATTGTGCTGTCACTGAATTGGGTCGCTACGTTGATCACATATTCGATGTCTAAGCTTGTCATCTTAAGCCCTCTTGCAAATGTGAGATAACGCGTAGCTAGCTTAATATGCACCTTGCACAGGCTGTGTTTGTCCATGCTGATACGCAACGAGGCATTCACGCATCTAAGCAAACATCAGCAAATCACATGTTGCGGCGATCATGTTCGAGATATTAACCAACACCACGAAAGGCAACATAAAGTGCGATGGTGCCATGTATTCTATGGAGTCGCTACGATCGCTTGATGGGTGGCCACACCAGAATCTATGGACAATTCTGTAGGAACGCGGCCGAGTGAGCCAGCAAGGCCCCTATATCCAAGGAACGTATTTGTCTTTGTCAAGAACAACTATTCACAAGAAACACACTTCGCTGTCAGAATGGAGGGCTTTTTCTGGAAGGCCTGTCTGAAATGCTCCTGCCTGTAGCTAGGTACATAGTCTTCTTCAATCATCTTCTCACGCCTCCAGCGCTTGGACCTCGGAAGCTGAAGCATTTGGCCCTCACTGCGATGGAAACAGTTGGCGTCGAAGTGAATGCCAAGCCCTGCCTGAGAGCGAACGATCCCACGGGAAAAAATATCCTCTAGCCTTGCAGGAATGGTATGCAAAGCTGAAAAGGCAGCTCTCTTCGCGGGATGCGCCACATATAGGGAGCAAATCAAAGGGCTTGCTGTGTGAAAAGTGTAAGCAGTTTGCGTAGTTGCATACTCTCAGCGGTGCTTTCCGATGTAGGTGTCCCACATCCTGACGAAATCCTTTAAGGTAAGTCTTGATTCCACTGGAAACAGGCGTTGAACACACATTTCGGACACACATGACATCTGGCAAGATTTTGTCAAGCAGCGAACCACAGGGTAAACGGACCACGTACCATGTCCATATCAATCCGAATTGCTCGAGCCGACGGAATTAAGTGGTCCTTCGAAACCCCAACAAAGGGTTGATGACCTGCACAAATTGGCAATTCCAGCAGGTCTTTTCAACTCACACCAAAGTCTTGAAACAAGCTACAGGAGCTGCTTCAGACAGGACTGCGGGCCGGTTGGTGTCATTCGGATCTTCTCACCATGCTTCACCAAGCACAGTCGTGCTTGAAAGAATCGCTCCAGCGGTTTGGCTTGCAAGGACTTGGTCAACTCAACTGACCTGTTCACCAAACCACGATCTGTGCATGACCAGGTGGAAAAAGCTCTAGCTTCTATCCAAGGCTTTATATTGAATATTGAGTCTTCCATGTCTGTATGATGCTCATCGGCTTCCCCCTCAGCATCACACAGTTCGGCGGCATAGCGAGTTGCCCAGTGGACCTGTCCCATTCAGCACAAGCAAGGCGTGCAGTTTCAGAAATTCGAAGATGTGCTGGCAACACTCTATCATTCATAACACAGCAGCTGTTTGCTTTTCAGTAATCCCTTCTCAACGCTAAACGTTCCCCTAATAAAACCGACTATTAAAAATACCCCAAGTCCGGGAGTACTACTTTTAGAATAGACAATACTAAACCAATTCTAGAGTAGGTATGTTCGCGCCCGTGCCCAAATCCAGCCGTATTAGGGGGACCCGGGAGTACGTGTTCTTTACTACGGATGTACTACAAAGCTGCGACTTTCCAGCCGGGGCTCCGGGAAAGGGGGGCCCCTAATGCTGTATTTCCCGGGGGACCCACTTGGTATGGGGGGGGGGGAGTTTAGCATTAGGGGGAAGGGATTAGACAGCAAACCAGATGTGTAAGCAAGCGGAGCGCTTCAGTTCTTGCAGCACCCAAAGCTCGATTATTTGACGCGGTTGTTCAATTCAACATGTGCAACAGGTAAGTGAGTTATCCCACACAATTCTGGACTATACTTGCATCAGACTTTCCATTCCAAAACCAAAGCCTGACCCATTCGCTGGCGCTGTCAATACATCCAAGTGTGGCACCCACTTGGGGTACTGGTTGGTCGCAACGTAGGGGCATTCTGGCCTGCGCAATGCGTTCAGTCCCCTGCTAATGGGGACCTGCTTCCTTTGCATCTTTCGGCAGAGAGGGGTTCCTCCTTTTTGACACATACTAAATAAAGACAACCACTGGAGAATCTGTTCAGCACCTGCAAATCTTTCTTCCCAGGCAAAGCGAGTGTTGCTCCGTGTGTCCCGTGGCCTAACCTCAGCAAGACGGGCACCGCACCTCACCACCCTGCGCCGCGAGAACTCGGTTCGGTGTTCCTTGTCCTCCTTGCAGAGGCTGTTCCCACAAACCTGCCACGTACAAAGCTAGACTCAGCCTGCAAGAGCTTCAAGTCAGCAGACCTGTCTGCAGTGAGACACTAATACCTGTGTGCAGTGTATACCTGTCAAATGTACATGACACAATTGTCACAATAAGCTTCGGAGTGGGCAAGTCGACATCTGAGCATTGTGTGTGTGTGTGCTAAAAGCGAAGACGACTCATGGTGCTACTGGGCAATGGTTAACACATAGCACATGTTGCAAAGCATGCAGTGTGCAAACACTGCAAAATTGGCTATCAAGTGCAAGCTCTTGCCAGCTCAGGCAAGGAATCCCCTGATTTATTTTGCCTATGTGAGTGCATGCAAGTGACACCTGCAACTTCACCGACGCCTCATACTCCTTGTTGCGGACTTGCTTTTGCGTGAAGAGCGTCCTCTTGCAAATAGTTCGACGCCTGCGCTCTGGCAAACAGAGAGTCAACAGTTACATATCAGAATTTGACGTCTGAGCTGCCACTACAGTATAGTACCTAACGACCAGGGTCTTTCTCACAAGCATGAGCGTTGCAAACTCCGCAGGCCCTGCCACATATGAGGAATCTTGAGCGCGTCACTACGCCCATCCAGCTTTTATCTAAACTGCAAACTGCCGAGGGCCACAAGCCGCCGGTGAAGCTGCTTTGCTGGCAATGAAGTGCCTTGAACCAAACCATTGCCTTCTCCGAAACATGTTGAGTTGACTTGAACATTCCCCTGGCCAATGCCAAAAAAAACAGTGGATCTGCCAAGCAATATTGATTCCCCTTGATGGGAGTTTTGGTCCCTGTCTGAGGATCACATTGACTTTTTTTAGTTCAACAACGCAGGAAAATTGTCAAAACCCGTCATGCCTCTTTTGTGGTCGCCTGATCTGAAGAAAATCAAATCAAAGGCAAAATGATTGATTGCCATTGGTGTTTCCGTCATCTACAAATCGTCTTTCCACTGCAAGTTGACGTGGCCATGAGGAAAAGGGGCTCCCTCTTTCAGGAGTCGGTTTGGCGCACCTGGCTATGCCGTAACTTGAGTCGTACTGATGCGGCCTGTTGCCTCAGAGCAGCTCAGCCAGCAGAGAAGGTCAAGGTGTGGGCATCGCTTTTTTTCATGGTACCGTATTTGAGCGCAAGGGCAACAAAAGGGCTACACCACCAATATTATGAATTCCGATGAGAGAAACCGGACGTGAAACCTGGAACCCCCCCCCCCCAATATGAAGAACCTGCACATCCCGCATCTTTTCTTGAACATCAAGTTTATCACAGGGTTTACCCACCTCTTTTAGCCTATCACTGGATGTGGCATGAGAAGCTGGGCGCGAAGAAATTCGCGCCAGGCCTCAAACTAGCAGGGACTGGAAATCCTTAGCCCCAAAATTCTTTCCATAGGCAACTTCCAAAGCACAAGTACACCACAGACCTACGCCTAACTGCAGCGAAACCCTATGACCTACGTATCCAGTAAAATTATTTAAAAAAAACTGCAACTCTTGCAACGAGTACAATTCTGCTACGTTACTAATCTCACGGATGGGTCAACAGAACACGATTCTTTAGACAGGGAGCAACACTTGAGTAAACCAGAAGCATTTTCAGACTTGAGCTACATCCCACCATCAGGGCTATGATGAGTGAATGGAGCCGACTTGTATGTAAGCTAGAATGAATTGGCAACAGCATTGTCAGAGGGAATCTGCAAGAAATCAGGCACTTCCCTGGAGAAAGCCATGCAACAAGATCCTGGAGATGCCCCTGTACCATCAAACTCGGGAATCGTGCTGGGACGTCTCGCGGCCTTCAAAATTGTACAAGCACCAACCATATAGATCTCCCTTGTCAATCTGAATGGCACGCTCGGAGCACATCGCCAAACAGGCCGGAACCAAGATAGGGTCAGTCTGGAAAACAACAAAATCATCGAACACGTCCCAACTACGCAAAAAACGCTGTGCCATAGTGTGGTGTCGGTTCCCCTTGCACCCGCTTGACTGCTTTCCTGTGCATTCCAGCGGGCAAATGGCTTCGGGGGTGGCTAAGATGCACGCCGTCGCAGACATAGCTCTTTTCCACCTGCGGGAACAAAGCAACAGCAAATCCTATCGCTGTCGCTTACCTTTCAACAGTTTGGAGCGACCAGGGACATGCCAGACCATGGCTCCAGCAAAATCAATCCGAATGATGCACTGAGCAACTGCATGGTCAAGGCTGCCAGGGCAGCGGCGGAAGCATAGCATTCATAGTTCCGTGCCCAAATATCGAGATCGCCAGGCTTCTCCTCCTGTCAATGGTCAAACAGGCAAGTTGCATCATCTGAGCAAGTTGCATTGCAAAATGGCAAGTTTGCAAGATTGCAATCATAATCAGATTGGTGGGAACCAAACTTGGAGCTGCAGTTGGCCCTGCATGACTCTGCAGCGAAGAAATGCCCAGGACACAGAACCAATCGACGGTCAACAAATATTGTAGGTACTGTTGATTCAACCCTGTTGTTCCTGACGTTTTCCGCAGATATGCAGTTCTAGGCGCCGGATTGCAACTCACACAGCTCCAGCTTGAGAAATTCTAGTGTTCAGTAGAAGTGTAGTATGAAAGTACACGTTGTTGGCCCCAGCTCCAAAATGGCAACTGTTCGGCACCAAGCAGAGCGGCAGCTCGAAAATTGCAACGTTTAGGACAACCAGCTCGAAAGTCACCCTTTTTGAATCAGTACGACGCGGATCAAAGGTCGCAACTTGTCAGCACAAACGTGGTGAACGAAACTGCAGCTCGGAGATTGCAACTTGCTTAGCGCAGGTCTAGAGCGTGACGTGGACCCTGGCTGTCATCTGGCCCACTTCGAAATAAGGTGGTCGTCCCGGCTAAGTCGTAGTAATAATATGTGGTAGTCGTCGTAGTCGCGTAGTCGTACTGTGAGAAATAGGGGCAGTACGTAGCAGTAGCAGCAGCAGTAGCAGTAGCAGCAGCAGTAGCAGTAGCAGTAGCAGTGGCAGTAGCCATAGATAGTGTTGAAAGCGCTAGTAGTAATTAGCAGTACTAGTAGTAGTAGTAGTAGTAGTAGTCGTCGTAGAAGTATTGGTAGTGGTAGTACTAGTAGTGGTAGTAGTAGTAGTAGTAGTAGTAGTAGTAGTAGTAGTAGGAGTAGCAGTGGTAGCTGTACTAGGTAGCACTAGTAGTTGCAGCAGCAGCAGTAGTTGTAGTTATACTCCCAGTAGTGGTAGTGGTAGTAGGAGTAGTGGTAGCAGAAATAGTAGGAATAGTAGTAGTAGTGGTGGTAGTAGTAGTAGTGGTGGTGGTGGTGGTAGTGGTAGTGGTAGTAGTAGTAGTAGTAGTAGTGGTAGTGGTGGTGGTGGTGGTAGTGGTAGTAGTAGAGTCGTCGTCGTCGTAGCCGCAGTCGTACTCAAAGTCGTAGTCGTAGTAGTATATATCAGTAGCAGTAAAGTTGGCCAGGAATGAATCCATTGTATGAATTGTTCCAAAGGCTTTGACGCTGTCCAAGAGCACTACATTCTAGTCCGTGTTTCACAAACGGGTTTTGCATGAAAGGAACTTCACTAAGGGCGCTCATGGTACTGTAACAAATTGAGTCTGCTTTCTTGAAGCATATGCGCTAAAGGAAGAGAAACTGCGCGAGTTTGATAATAGCAGCAGGCAGAAAACATGGCTCTGTGCGTGAATTTACCTGAGGGAAGCGGGCTTGGAATTTTCCTGGAGCGTGTTCGGAACGCGCGCGCAATCTGCTGGCACTCTGGCGAGGTCGACCCAAACAATTCGCTGGTTTGTTCTTCATTTGTTGGCTTTGCGCCCAAGCCTCTGCGGACTTTCGCGGGGTTGACCTTGAAAAAAACTCAATGTTCATAGTTTGCAGCGCTGTTCATTTTGTGGGGTGAAGAATGGGAGAGAGAAAGAGAGAACGAAAGGAAGAAATAAATGAAGACAGAAAGAACCAAAGAAAGCAAGCAAGCAAGCAAGAAAGAAAGACAGAAAGAAAGAAAGAAACGGAGAATCAGAAAGGTAAGATAGTGATGGAGAGAACGATAGAGAAAGAGACAAAAACAGAAAGAAAGGAGTAAACGGAAGAGAAGAGAGAGAAAGAAAACAAGTTTGAGCAGGAGAAAGCACACGAGAACTCGGGAGAGGGAGATGACCTGAGGAAAAAACAAAAGAGAAAAAGCTAAAAAGGACAAAGGAACCAGGAAACATAAACAGACAAAGATAAAGGGACAGAAAAAGGGAACATGTTAATAAAGAGAGGAGCAAGAACAAGACGAAAAAGGAGAGGCACTGACAGAAACACTTAAAGATGAAGATAGAAACAACACAGAAAGAAAGAGAGACATAATGAGAACCGTAAAGAGAAAGAGGGAAAGTAACAGATAAGGAACAGGAGAACCAGAAGCCAAAGAGAGAAGGGGCAAGGAAGCGCGCTCCAACTATCGTCCTCACATCTATTCCAACTTCCTCCCCCCGGCTCTGCCGGACGATGCTCGTAAGGTTTGACGGACACTCGTGCGGAAAAATGCTTCTTTCGCAGCCTCCAGAGCTCCAATATTTACTAGTATCGCGTCATGCGCAGTGGCGTGAAAAATGCGAGGGCATGAGTGTAGCGTCTGTTTCACAGAGGAACCGTAGCCATAGACAAGTCATCAAACGCGTCCTGTCTTGCAATCCGAGGACCCGGCCCATTCCAGCACGGCTCGCATGTCCCATTTGATGGTCTTCGGGTTTCCAATGAGAAAGCAACCTTGCGCAGGAACTTTTGCTAGCTCCAGAAGCACAAGCGTGGCTGATGATGATCAGGGATCCTTACATTATACACCTGAACATTGCCTTGTAAATGGTGGTTTCCCTTTATTCTGGTGGAAAAAGCCATGTTTCAAATGGGAAAAATTTGTATCTTTTAAGGAGCCCTGTGCAAATCTCCAAGTTGATTAAAAAAAAAAACCTCAAGCCTCCAAGTGTCCAAGCACAGCGACAGGTGTAAGCTTGAAAAATAACAGTTGCATGTTGCTCAACAACAAAACCAAAAACAAACAAACAAGCAAACAAAGAAGCACACAACCAACCAACCACATAGATACAAACAGAGAAAGACGCACGCACGTGCACGCGCACGCGCGAACGTCACGCTCGCTCGCACGCACACCAGCGCCCATGCACGCAAGCAGGTACGCGCGAGCGCACCGGCACAGGCGCCCGCGCGCAAGCAAGCGAGCAAGCAAGCACACAAGCAAGCAAGCAAGCAAGCAAGCAAGCAAGCAAGCAAGCAAGCAAGCAAGCAAGCAAGCAGGCAGGCAGGCAAGCAAGCAAGCAAGCAAGCAAGCAAGCAAGCATGCACAAACAACAATTAAAACAAAAACATCAAACAAACAAACGCAACGAGCAAGCTTGCACACACACACACAGACACACACAGACACAGACACAGACACAGACACAGACACACACAGACACACACAGACACACACACACACAGACACACACACACAGACACACAGACACACACACACAAACACACAACAGACACACAGACACACAGACACACAGACTCACAGACACACAGACACACAGACACACACACACACAAAGACACACAAAGACACACAAAGACACACAAAGACACACAAAGACACACAAAGACACACAGACACACACACACACACAGACACACAGACACACAGACACACAGACACACAGACACACAGACACACAGACACACAGACACACAGACACACAGACACACAGACACACAGACACACAGACACACAGACACACAGACACACAGACACACAGACACACAGACACACAGACACACAGACACACAGACACACAGACACACAGACACACAGACACACAGACACACAGACACACAGACAGACAGACAGACAGACACGCAGACACGCAGACACAGACACGCAGACACAGACACGCAGACACAGACAGACACACAGACACACAGACACACAGACACACAGACACACAGACACACAGACACACAGACACACAGACACACAGACACACAGACACACAGACACACAGACACACAGACACACAGACACACAGACACACAGACACACAGACACACAGACACACAGACACACAGACACACAGACACACAGACACACAGACACACAGACACACAGACACACAGACACAGACACACAGACACACAGACACACAGACACACAGACACACAGACACACAGACACACAGACACACAGACACACAGACACACAGACACACACACAGACACACAGACACACAGACACACAGACACACAGACACACAGACACACAGACACACAGACACACAGACACACAGACACACAGACACACAGACACACAGACACACAGACACACAGACACACAGACACACAGACACACACACACACAGCACACGCGCACACGCCCACACGCCCACACGCCCACACGCCCACACGCACACACGCACACACGCACACACACCCACACACCCACAAGCACGCACGCACGCACGCACGCACGCACGCACGCACGCACGCACGCACGCACGCACGCGCACACGCACGCGCACACTCACAGGCACTCGCGCGTCCTGTGCCTTTTGCGAATCATGTGCTACGACTTACTCGCGCTTGTCTTGGTTGCCACAATGTCCAACGCAATAGCCACTGCAAAACATTCACGATTCTCCTGAAGTTATTTTGCGCAAGGATTTGTTAACATGTTTGGGACCCCCTCAACATGGATCTTGCATGATCTTTCTACCGTACCGCGTTATGATGAGAACAGTACAGCTCACCGGTCGATTGAACATGACCTGCATTTGGCTCAGTGCCTTTTGCCACGGGCCCCCTCCCTTTCTGTTTTTTGCTTTTTGTCTCTCTCACTCTCTCTCTCTCTCTCTCTCTCTCTCTTAGTGCTTGTCTGGTTTCGCATGAACACGGGCATGATTGCTCCCGTGTCAGAGGTCACGTTGCCAACGCCTTCACTGGGCCTCCCTGCCATCTGCGTACAGCTGCCCACCTTTCAACGACTCGGAGATGGAGAACTGAAAGCGGCAATTGAAGGCGTCCTGCGGGCGAGCTGCGCCCCTGTCGTTGCTAGTTGCAGCGCACCGCCCCCCTCCCCCCCAAAAAACATATTGTAAGCATGTGCGTACTATAAATATATAATAAATAAATAAATAAATATATATATATATGTATATATATATGCGTAGAGAATGCTCAGATAGATGAATCCACAACTAAACCTAAACTAACTCTGATCAACCCAAAGCCAACCCTTAAGCCAACCCAAAGCCAACCCTTAAGCCAACCCTAAACCCGCACTAAACCCATCCTAAACCAACCTAAACCAACCCGAAGCCAACGCAAAAGCCAACCCGAAACCAGGCCAAAAACCACCCTAAACCAACCCTGAACCAACCCCAAACCCTAAGTCAACTCTAAACCAAGCCAATACCAACCCCAAACCACACCCCAAACCACCCAACCACATGACCACAGGCCCGGGGGAGTGATCCCATGTCCTTGCAGTTCTTGCCGCGGTCCAGCTTTCGAGTAACCGATGTGTACCTCGAATGCCAACGGAATGCCAAGGACAAACATGGACATACTAAGCACGTTGCCGTGCCAAACTGACCCCACAACTTGCAAAACTCCTTCAGATTGCACATCTATAGAGTGGCCTGGAATGGCCTAGCTAACACATCTATAGTATAGCAGCCTGGAATAGCCTAGCTAAGGTTCCTGATAACCTCTGCAAGAACGCAAGCGCACCGTCTGTGCTTTGACTTAGCAGCTACTTTCAGTAGCCTTGCTCAAAGAAACAGCACTCGACACTCGACAGTGGGGGGCACCCTGGCTTCTCGATCTTCACAAACAGGTCACGAGCCTCGCTGGAAAACCTGCTGTCGCCAAACCCGCGAGACATAAATTGCAGGTAACAGGGATTTTTTTCAGACACCCACCCCCCAACGAAGCTAACACAACGTCCATTCGAAAGGCAGATTGGCCCAAGAGAAGTTTTCAGCTGGTTCAGTGAAGGGTTGAAAGCCATTGATCTCCATCGAATCTCGCAGCTTCACCAGAAAACGGCCCCCGCTTTGCCTTCCGCAACTCCCCCTCCAAACCAACACGCAAGCCCTTTCCGTGCCATGCCAGCAAAACATGCACACATATTGTTGAACTGTTGGGGACCCTTTGGTTGACAGCTATGACATGGAGATTCAAGTCCACCAACATGTTTCGAGAAGGTTCCCTCTTGAGTGCCATAGTCATATGGTAACACCCAGAGCACTGTGTACATGCCGGGCAAGCTCCACGGAAAAATCCTTGGCCGTTGAACGATCAGTGTACAGCTTCTCCAGCTCATGCAGCCTTGGCAACGGCTCGCATCAAAGCTCAGCGACTTCCAAATCCTACGACGCCCACGCAGATGGGAATGTGTAATTGGTATAGCTCTGGAGCCAACCGGCATAGCCCGGCCAGTGCCATATGAGTCAGAATCAAAACCTGGTACAAAAGTGGTCGACCCAGAACCATGTAAAGAATTAAGAAGGCGGCCGCAGCGATTTCTAGCTCGGATTCTCCCTTGCTACCCTCCAATTACCCGGGGTTTGCTTGTGGCTCATATAACAATACCACCAATGCCTTCAGCCTATACTTGCAGGCACAAGACAAAGACTGCGCAAGAAAGTCTCTCATCTACCTGAAAAACACACACACAAATGTATGCTGCTAAATGTAAATATATTACATGACTATAACTGGAATATGCAAACAGCTCCAAGCAAACGCGACACAAACTGACACACAGTCCAAGTATGTAAGTAAAGAAGGAGACGTCGACTTGATGACGAACAAAGCGGAGAAGTTCTGCGAACATCTCAAGCAGCAAGCTCGCAGATGGTGATTTCAAAGGAAACTACACGAAATCAACATTTGGAGGGCCTTCACACTCCATATCACGAATGCAATGGATTGCTAGCTGTGAAGTCACAAAACACACGCTCAAACCCCTCTTGCAGGAAATATGAGTAAGCACAAAGAAGTCCGAACAGCCACGAACAACGATGGATCGGCAAACATGCTTTGACATTGAAGCAACGCACGACTTGTGAAACCGCTTCTGGGCAGCCTGATACCGCAACATGCACTGGCATCCCACAATTCATAAGACTCAAGGTCAATGAAGCAAACCTTGAGCATCGCAAAGCAAAAACGTTTGGACACGTTCCTTGCGAAAGTTAAACATTGACAAACCGTGTGGAAGGCCACCATGTTCCTCCAAGCTCGTGGCCTGTGTTGAAACTTGGAGAGTTGCTTCCGCGAGGCAAGCTGGATCAATCTAGATCCTTCTCAGTCTACGGATGCCTTGAAAACAAAAGAGTGGCTTGGTACGAAGGCAAGCACTCTGGGCCAACTAATCAATGCATGAGGCCAATAACATGTCTGTTCCCTTTGCCCGGCAAAAATCACAAAGCAGCGCCCCTCTTCATCCGTTTTGCGGCGGTTGGGCGCTGGGGCGCCGGACCGGTCGCTGTTGCCATAGGGCACCGACACTGTGATGGTCACCCCACGCAGGGGCAGCTGCGTCCTGGCGTCCTGCACCTGGGGAGGTGGGAGATCCCTCGGTACTTTGGTTTCACCTGACAAAACGAGCCTTCTAGGAGTTTCTTTAGCTTGATAAATACCAGGCACACAAGGGGAACGGCCACCCCGCAGAAGGTTTGGGTTGAGACCATCCCCAATCACCTGGTTCTGGGGGGTCCTATATAAACATCCACTACGCATACATACAAGTAGTTTGCAGCTACCCTATTCTTATCATTAATGTGTCTTGCTTTCTTTTGGCAATGATTTGGGACACCTCGCCCATCTTGGTGCCAACCCCTACTCCACTGAGATAAGAAGTAATAATGTAGCCCCATGTGCGGCAGGGATTCTTAACGTCTTCGCGCAAATGTTTCAGTGGCTGGTTGTCCCCTGCTCCCTCGCGACAAACAACCAAATTAGGTCCATTTTGCGGGAAACATACGAACACGTCCTTTTTGCACAAGATACTGCTGAATGCCTTAGTCAACGCCGAATGCCACGCCATGTGAGAAACAGTGAGTTGAGAGACTGGAGCTACTGTATGCGAGGATAATGTTGCCGGTACTGATGACAAGTCTATATATATATATATGTATAGACACACACACATATATATATATATATATATATATACATATATATGTATAGTAATGTACATAGACATATGCATGCATACATAAACATTAAACATCTTCTGCTTGCATGTTCGGCACGTTCATGGAAGGGATGCATTGCAAATCTTAACCAGCGGTCGCCAATCTCAACATATCTCAAAAGTGCAACACTCGTGAAAGCATCTATCATTGAGATGTTCTGCTAGCAAACCTTGCTAGAGCCCCTTGTCCACTCAGGGCCTGTTTGTCAGAGGGAACTCCAAAGAGCACAGTTGATAGCGTAGTCATACTAAAAATGCAAATTTGGAATTGCAAAGTGTAATTCCAGATTGCTCGTCTCTTACTGTTGAATTGCATAACAAAAACATGCCCTGACTTGAATGAACTATGTGAATCAATAGCTTGATAATGTCTTCCACGCGGAAGGATTCGATCTGGCCAATGGCACTGAGTCAATTTGTGCTTCCCATGCAAGTGTAGACTATGTTGAAATGGATGTGAACACATGCCCGCAAACTGCTCTTGGAGTATCAAGCATGGTTTTCCGGACTGCCATGCCACTGTGCCTGCCTGGATGACCATGGGCGGCAAGCACTGGGGCCTTTGCCACTCGCAGTCCCGAGGCAGATATACTGAAGCTTTGACAAACCAAATTTGAGCTTTAGTGGGTTTTAGTGGGTTTTAGTGGGTTAAATGGAAACCTAACCACTAAACCCTAAAAACTGAAGGGGACGACTAGGAACCGCCAAGACAAGAGGATGGTATTCCATTTCAATCGAAGTCGATGTCGCCGGAGTCGCCCTTCAAACTGCCGATCCGAACTTAGTGACTGACGGAAACCCGCAACAACCTGTGCAATGTACGTGGTGCACAATGCACCTTATGGCTGATGGAGTCTTTTCTTTTCAGACTGGAACGTGATGTAACGTGCCTTCAACAAGAAGAAAACCATCTGAACCCCGAACTACCAATCCAAATCCCTGAAAGCTATTTGGCAGCCTGATATAACTTGAACAGACCAAAGACATGAAAAGAAACTTGGAATTCTGGGGGGCTGTCATTCTCCGAGTGTGAATGCAACGAGCTGTCTCAGCTACCTCGTTCTCAGCTCCTCACACGCCAGCTGGGCCAACCCCGTCTGAAGGCTCCTGCCAGGCCGTCTGTGCTGTCGATTTTAAGAATGCGACGCAAAACTCGCATGGCGGCTCGCAAAGTGTGTGAGTTTGTGCACATCATTCAGTCATTCGCCTGCATTGCAGTCGATTGCATCATTTTTCTGCCCGTTTGGTCAACGGCTCAATGCGGAGCTATCAAGCGCTGAGCTTGCAGCCCACACAGCTGCAGCTGCGCTTGTTTCCGTCCTGGGCAAATAACAATCAAACAGCCGGCAATGCTTGGCCGACGCCCACCGGACTATCGAACTTCAATATGTCCATGTTCCGGTGGTGTATATAATGTATGTTTACGCGTACTAGAGTATAATATATATATATATACTTATTTAGTTATATTTACACAGATATAAATATATATATATATATATGATATACAAACACCTATGAAATAAATATATGTGTGTATGAGCTACGCCACATATTGGCTACGTGGTTAATTTTTTCGGGGGCTCCCACCTCGCTCTCCAACCCTGCACCCGTTTGGACTCATTGACCTCGTTGTTCAACGCCGAGCGTGTTTGTGATCTCAACCGCCTATCATGGCCCCACCTCGCTTTGAAGGTGTTCCTACCTAAGTTACCCAAAACATGTTTCCGCCCGGCCTTTACTGAAGTCGTCCAAGTAAAGGAAGTCTCACATATATATATATATATGTGCGCTAGCCTGGGGCCCAGTGTCTAAGACTCGCCTCAGGCCCAGCCCAACCAGCAACCACTCAAGGAAGGCACCAACCAACCAAGCAAAGGCGCCCTGTCTGCTAACTCCATGACTCACTCCTGGTCCTGTGCATCGCCTTGCCCTTGCTCTGGGGATTCCTGCTGGCCCGTGACATCAATTGGTCCAACGACGCCAAAGCCTGTCCATGCCTGAATCGCCACTTGACCAGCTCTGCTGCTTGCAGTCGGACCACGAGGCGGGCAATGCGTAGCGTTTACAAGTACATACCTATTCATAATTTCATAGTCCACGAAATGGCACATGCATCGAATAGTGACTAAGGGTTACTAGGGTGACAATACAGTTAGAAACAACGCACCCAGCACCCCTGCAACACATGCACATTTTTGCCTTTTTGAAGGCACAGTTTTGGGCTCGGGCTTGGTTTTAAACGGCTCGAGGGATTCCGAAACCTGTTTTGGGAGTCTCAATCAAACGCATCCATATGGGCTGAAAAAACAACCCCGTGGACAACCCTTGAACCCTTATGCCCTAGTATCGGTCAGTATCGGTTTTTTCCTCTGCATCGGCTTGCAGTGTTTTGGCAGCTCTAGCTCGAAAGTCGCAACTTTTCCGTACAAGTGTAGTATGCGAAGTACACTCTGCCAGCTCCCAGCTCCAGCTGGAAAGTCGGAACTTTTCAGTACAAGTGTAGTATACACAAAGTACATTTTGGCAGCTCCAGCTGGAAAGCCGAACTTTTCAGTAGTATGCGCAGTACGCTTTGGCAGCTCCGGCTTGAAGGTCGCAGCTTTTCAGTGCAAGTAAGTGTAGTATGGTGTAATATACGAAGTACATTTTGGCAGCTCCACAGCGGACGTCGCAACTTTTCAGTACAAATGTAGTACACAAAGTACATTTTGGCAGGTACAGGGAAGGCTGCAGGGCAGCTGGTTGGATTCGACATGGCGGCCAATGAGTTGGGTATCGGTTGGGTATCGGTTTGGGTATCGCTTTGGGCCCTGCAAATTCATGATTCCGCAAATTTATGATTCCGCAATCTTGGTTTGCGACAACAACTTGGACCTGATGTGTGTCTTCATGGTTTCTGGGGGTATCGATTTGTTTTCTTCTTCCTCTGTATCGGTTTACAATGGTTTTGGCCTGCGAAACAAGCTAAGGGATAGCCCCTTACATAACGAAAAGGCGCGGGGTTGTTTTTTCAGCCCACATTGACTCAAGGGCATTCACCTCGAAGAAGCCGATGGCCGCATCCCCCGAGCCATCGCTCTCTGCGATCGCGGTGAACGGATGTTTCTTTCCTCCCTCGCCTGGCCTCGTGAGAGGCGTTCCTCAAGTTGCAGATGAGCTACTCATTGTTGGTTGTTGTTTTGATTGGGGTTACCAAGAGCACACAACTTAACGCATTTGAAGACAGACCCGGAGATCTCCCATGTGTTTAGACGTCCCCAACCCCCGGCATCCACGTGGCTAAGAGAAAAACCGAGCGGAGCCACAGAACTCGACTGAGGTCGCTGAGGCTCCGCGCCCCACGATGAAGCTGCAGGTCTTGCGGCCCGGCTTGGCGCCACTTGCACCTCGTAGCCGCCCCAAAAACTGCAGGGCCAAGGGGTGTCGGGCCGGTTGGTTTTGAAGGGAAAGAGGCAAACCACCTGGTAGCCGGTTTTGAAGGGAAGCCAAGAGGCAAACCACCTGCCTGCCTGGCACCCTTCTTGGAGTTGGCTTTGAAGGGAGACCAAAAGGAAAACCGCTGCGCCATTGGGGGGGTACCCTAAAAGAGTCACTCCCAAATGGCTGGCATGTGGGGATAATCACATGTTCAAGCTTCAGGGCATTTCCTCATTGACAGGCTTTTCAACTATAGCTGGGCAAAGGCAAGGCTTCCACGCAATCGCAACGAAGGGCCAACCACCATGCACCAAAAAAAGGTTTTTGGGATGCAAGGCACGCTAATAAATGCTTTTGACGCCCACTTTCATCCTGGGCTTCCCGGGCTGGCTCTGGTGTAGCAGCTAAGCTCGCAATTGCACTCGGTCTTGGCTATGCAACTGCGCCGGATGCAGGCAGGCGAGGCATCGAAGCAAAGAGCTGAGCCAACTTTGCCAAACATAGGACGGCATGCTGCTGGCAAACTCCAATGTTGCTTTCACGTTGACGCGTGTCGTCCTCCTTTTGTTCACATGAATTTCGGAAGTGGCCTAAGAAATGGCCCACCTTCAGGCTACGTGGCACACGTGACCAGCCAAGGTTGCTTCTCAACCGATGTGGACACACACACACACACACACATGCTCTGTGCAAAACAAAGCAAAGAAATTGCCAGCTTTGCGCAGCGAAGCACGGGCAGTGCAACCCCTGACCCAGCCTTGCACACTTGTTCCTGGGGGCACGAGACAGTGGCAAGGGCGTACACAAGCTTCTGGCATGGATTTGGAAAGGTGCTCAAAAGGGGAGGTGCATCTGCTGAAATTGATGTTGCGGGCTGGAAGGTTTATCCTGCTATTGATGGCAGGACCCTCCTCACATCGGCACCGCACAGTCCGTCGGGCATATCCAATGAGGACTGGACGTGTTGAGAGCTCCGAATTGGTCGTCTGGTGCGGCCTTAGGACGGGCAAGCCTCTCGGGGACCTTTGTCTGAGGCACAAGATGACTGGGTCCAGGAATCCAAGCTTGACCCCTAGTTGCAAAGCTCTACAAAATCAAGTGCGCGAAGTATAAACTTGTTTGGGAAACGAAGGCCTTGTGAAACGGTTGATGCCGTGCCGCCAGACACTCTGATCGGAATTCCATCACTTGCTTTACAAAGACAGTTGGGATTCAGTCGATACTCCAGACATCTCCAGAAAGCACAACCCCGGAGAAAAAAAACTGCGCACAGCAGTGGGAAGCCAACTGGGCCTTCGCCTTCTGGCATTGAAATTGTACTGCAGCTTACCCTGTGAATCGGAAAGCAGCCGGCCGATCGCTGGCCCAAACTCAAACAGGACAACAAGGAAGCACACACATCTGCATGGCCGAGTCAGCCGACGCGATCCCACCACCAGCACAATTGACAGCTGAGCTGCGCATTTTGGCAGACAAATGGGCAGCTTCCGGTGCCTGGCACAAAATCACGGGAGGGTTGAGACGTAATTCAGCTAGAGTAGACTGGGGCAACATTAAACAGGAGGGAGGGAAACAACATAAAAGGGCCCAATCCTGCTTGACACAAGGAACAAACAATCACCAACCACCAACCACCAGCTGAAGCAGCAGCAAGGGAAGGCGCCGCAGCAGCAGCAGCAGCAGCGGCAGCAGCAGCAGCAGCAGCACACGTGGCAAAACAAGAAGGAAAATCGCCCGTCGCTGTGGCTGCCAGGTGATGCGACCCGCCTTCGCAATGAATCGCGCCGGGAAGCAGTCAGATCCATCTTTCCGTGTTGCGAGACCCAAGCTCGCCCCCAAGTGCACTCAAGGCCTTTGAGCCCCCATCACGGGAGGCATGAACGGCGTTTTTTGCCTGCCCAGCTTCTCCACTGGTCCTGAGTAAGAACGGAATCAAATGGAGAGTCTAAATCAAATAGGCATGGCCGAGGCAAAGCGCATTGTGTGAGATCCAAAGAGGAAGCACGTTTCGTCCTCGGCATTTCTCCCAAACAACACTACGGACATACGCACCAGGTTTCACAGGATACCATGTTCTGGCAAGTTGTACCAGCCCGCGAATGACCCACTTGCCATGTTTCCCTCATCTGTCCGATTTTACTCTTTCCCGGGCCAAGCTCTTTGCAGGGGAAAGGCCCTCAATCACGCTCATCTAATGCGCGTGAGCGGCGTGAGAACGTGAGTATCTGTGTGTCCGGAACCCAGGCTGGTGTCCCTCCAAGCCTTGGAACATTGTGTAAGGCATGTGTCAACTGCTCATCTGTGAGAGAGCCTAGATGGATCGGCGCTAGCATTCCAATTGCTGTACTCTGCAGCTCAGGGTCCACGTCCAATCTGCGCACTCCAGGTGATTTGCATGTAGATTTAATCTGCTTCAAGTCTAAGGGACACCTATGCGTTCTAATGTAGTTTCAGTGAGGCTGCAGGAAGAGCGGCTGGCAGGATTTTAAGACCTGTACTCCAAACATAGCCATCAACACAAGAGGGACCGCTTTCGGTGGCTAAGGGCCTTCCTAAATCGGGCCGAAAACATGGCGCATGAACGCACCGATCGACTGTTGCCACTACACACCTGCCACAAATCAAACCAATGGGGTTAAGCACACAATTCATTTCAACTCATAAACTTGCCAAACTCTCAACCTCACTTGCTGAGTGGATTGGCGAACAACAGCAACCAAACTTTTTGTTTTCCACCAAAATGGTCCCAAAAAGTGACTAAAGTCCAGGAACCCAGGGAGTGAGGAAGCATCAAGCCAAGGGGGTTCTTCACTATTCAAACTCCGAACACATTGAACCTGCCAAGTACTTGTTTTACATGCCACACATATAGCTGTGGGTCAAAAATTGGGTGGCCCCACAATGGCTTGCCCTGGCAAATGGAAACCTGGAGTGAAACCTGCGGTCCAATTGACCCAGACCCATATAGCACATATTATCAATTCATAGCCTAGGGACAACCCCCCAATTTACAAACTGGGGTTCATTCATTTGGGGTCAACATGATTTGCTTCCTAACACCTGCCAAACATTTGAGTCATAATCAAAACCCGGTGTTAGAATGATCTACCCAGGCGGCTGCACCCTTTTATGCTTGGGATTCTCCCTTACTATCCTCCAATTACTCGGGTTTTGATTCTGACTCATTTGCTTTACCTGCCAACTCCAATTCACATACCACAGATATATCACATATATCACCTCCAACTAAATCTCACATCTAGGTCCTCCAGTAGAGAACTTAAAATAAGGGTGCCCTCTAAAATAGGTTCTAAAATGGCTGGTGAATTCACCTAACCCAAAATTGTACCAAAACGGCTTTGACAACCACAGCCATAGCACATCCAACCGATTCACATGCCAACTGCTTCGCCTGGGGCCGCTGGAGGTGGCCTCGCAGGCCTTCAGCCCCTCGTGGCCTGCGGCATGGCTCACCAAAAGGAAAACCGACAGAAGCCTTCGTGGGGGGCCAACCGAAAAAGACACACACACACACACACGCGCACATGTTGATCAGATCACGCTTGCAGCCTGGCTATTTAGTTTATCTCGTACACTGATTCCCACTGCAGTACCCCAGAAAGACGTGCGCAAGGCCGTACGTACAAGGCTCCAAACCGCTCAACGACCATGTTGACAAAACTATGCATGGCAAGATGTAGCCGGAAAGACACCAGCAAGCGCAGTAATCCGACAACCGCTGCCTCCGCCGACACGGAAGTTGCCAGATGCGCATCGCACGTCGCAAGTGCATTCCTGCCAGGCATGTGTTTGGAGGTTATTATCCGTTGAATAAGTTCGTTGAACCTGAAACCACTTGCGTTATGGGCTGATTGCAAACGAAGCCAAGACTAGCGAGAAAACTGTCCTGGTCCAAAATAATTAAAACTGCTTGCACGGCATGCATGGAAGAGATGTCTGACAGCCTTCATTAGCCGTGGTTTGCCAAGAAAGGATTGCATACGTCACCCATTGAATGAGATAAACAAAACCCTCTGCATCCTTAAACCGATTTGATAACGGCTCTCAGGCTGCACTTGACATACATGCAACCTGTGTGCAGGCAGCTAGCTCTGCCCTGCAAAGTGCATTGTTAGATTCCAGCCTCGACTCTTTGCCATCAACCACACATAACGCTCGTTGAAAGCTGTGTAGGTATGTAAGAGCATTGCTGTTCCTGACTGCCACCGTCTTGTGTGACTATGAAATGGAAAAGTCGAAATAGAATTCTTACGCCGAGCCCAGGTTGCAAGTAAGCCCAAACCACCCAACGCTCGAAACGGTCTGAATCCGCGCCCTGTCGCCAGGCGCGCAGTTCTGCATGCACCGAGAGACATCAAGGGTGCCCCGCTGGTGGTCAGGAGTCCTTGGCGTTGCTCGTACGCCATCATGACATGAGCACACCCTGCCTGCACAAACACCTACTGTATCTCTGAGCACTGCACTCGCATGGCCGAACACACTCGGGGGCTGCTTCGAATTCGGCACGGTTTGATCTCCTGAATGGCACAGACATCTCTCCACTCACAAATGCAACTAGCGGCCAGTTTCGCAGCTTCGCACATGCTCCATCTTGCGGTCATGAGCTGCTTCTGGGGATAAGTCTCTGCAGAAGGCTTGATGCCAAGCCTACTCATCTCATCATTCTCCGTTCTGCGATCAATAGAAAGGCATCTAGCCTAGCTGTTCCATGCTTCCATGCCAAAGCCAAGCGGCAAGAGACAGCTCCGCGGCCCAGTGTTGCCTTTCAGGAGAACTTTTGAAAGAAGCAAAGGGCAAAGTGCATTGCAATTAACATGGAGCCTGACAGTCTGACACGGGGTCTCACTTCAGTCGCTAGGCTACCAGGCGGGTCAAGGCAATTCAGGTCGCCAGGCGTGACAAAAACCCGACGCGCCCCGCGCCTCCCAAGGGTTTCAAGCCAGGGGCGCAGCTCACGGTGCAGTGGCACTCCTGCAAGCTGACATGTACCCATCGTGTGGACCTGTCACGCGTTGCAAAAGTCAGTCTGCTTGTTTGAATGAAGTGCTGCAAGTACACGAATTTGAGAGATGGCTCAACCCCAGTCGCAAAAAACGGAGTACCATTGTAGTTTTGCTTTCGGCAAGGACATGGTTTCTTGCACAAAGTAACTGCTCAAAGCATTCGGGGCGAGTCATGTGGAAGGGGATTAGTTGCCCAGTGCAATTGTTCGTCGTCTACCTCTCATTTACAGCGATTTTAATATTGGATTTTTGAATTTTGATGCTAGCAATTATCCAAAAGATAGATATGGAAAGGAAGAGATGGAGATAATTCCAAGAATAAAAACCAAAAGATGAATCCGGTGATGCCTTCCATCCAAGCGAGCCATTTCCGTAGGTCCAAGCTGCAGTGTAATCCAGAGTCTACCTTCATCCGTCTAGCCGTCTATTTCTTGAGAGATAGGATGTGCGGAAGAGCCTGAAAGACATTGTAGATGCCTTGGAAATCCTTGGGAAGACAGGTGAGACGGTAGAACTCTGGGAATCTTTGTCTTGGTTACAGCGGTGCATCCCAGAAAACAAGTGAGGCCTACGGAAAGAGAAAGGGATGCGTAAGGACGGTAACTCAAGGACATGTCCCTGCCCTAACGCCTGCCACCAATCCCCGAATCCGGAACCAAAAGAAGAGATACGAGTAATTGGAATGCTTCTAAAGTTGAAGAGCGAAGATATGAGAGATGAAAACAGAGGCATTCCTTCTCAACGCTATTATGCATCTCACAGACACAAACAAATACCAAAGTGAGATGATAGCGGGTAAAGAAAGGCATGTCCTCACATCCCAGCTCTTGCGCAGCTTTGGGTCTTTGGGTGGGTGAATGCTCGCCCATCTTTGTGCGCATGGGCCAGGTTTGGAGCCTCCAGGCACAACTTTTGTCTCATCAGAAAGCTGGTGGTGCGTTCCCTGAAAATAGGCCACGAAAAGGGTACCCTCCAACGAAAGTATAGACCGGTACCCATTAGTACCTCGGTGGGCCAGAGTTACCAAACTGAAACTCGGAGAGGAGCATGGGCATTCTGAAGGTTGTGGATCCCCGTGAAAGGGAAAATGGGTCACCACACATGGAATTCCAGGGGTCAAATCCCCCCTCCCCAAATCCATTTTTAAGGGGGTAGGATATCCAGACTTTCTAGCTGGGCTCACACTCAAAGGATGTGCTGATTTCTCCGCAAAAGAAGAAAGAGCCTTCAATGATGTTGAAAGGTGGGATCTACCTAAAATCAGCACGGGCGGCAGCTAGTTTTTCTTGAGCCAATGTATCATGTCGGTAAGCCGCTACTAAACAACACCCCCCGCTTTGCAGAGGAGCGTTGAGGAAGATAGTACTATGTACTTGTTTCCTCCAGGCCTGAAGCAAAGTCGTCTGAGGATGAGACTTTGAAGACGTTGAGCCTCAGTGCGATGAGTGGCAAGTCATGGTTTAGGGGCCCATGCATCCACGGCTGCTTCAACTGCAATGCGCTTGGAGCGGCTGACACGAGCTATCTTTTGCAGGAGCACGCCAGGTGAATGGGCCGACCACGACTTCCGTCGGGCTATACACACAATATTGCGTGTAAATCTTTGAAACAAAAGTTGAATTCATCTGCCATCAACAACGGTGGTGATCTCACGACCACAGCTTCCGCTGGGCAGGCAATTGAAATGAGTGTCGGCGGAGGCGGCCGTGAATAGCATTACGGCCGCAGCTTCCGCCGGGCGTGCAAAACAGCACAGCTAATGTTGCGGCATCAATGGATGAAAGATAATAGGATAACATCATAACATCACCAATGAAATTGATAGGGTTCCCGCAACAAAAGCTACATATCCCTCATAGATGCGGGTGCTCACCACCCCCATGGGCCCTGCCGCCGCTGCTCCCATCCGTAGGACCACCCGTAATTCCAGGAGTGCCAGTCGTGGTGTCCTTTGTTCTTGCTCTTGCCCTTGCCCTTGGTCTGGTAGGGCTCAAAGCGAATGGACCTGGTAATGGCTCTCCTAAGTCTCCGGTATTGGTTTGTTTCGCGCGAGATGGAAAAAACAAGATTGGTTTGTCAAAAATATCAATATTTGACCTTCCCTAGCAACTAGCTATTTTGAAGGTTTCCTTCCTAAATTGCTTTGACTTTGCAATTAGGAACCTTCTGACTTTGCAGTCAGATTTATGACTTTGCAGTCATTTCCCACCCTCCCACCACCCCCAGAGAACATGACTTTGCAGTCATGCCCCACCTTCCCACCACCCCCAGCCCCACGTGAAAGCTGTTGGCAAATGCCCTTTTCACCACAGGATTGCCACAACTTCGCACCCCCCAGCCCCACATCACAATTAACCACTCCTGGCCCCAGACAAGAGCTGCTGGCAAAAGCACTTTTTTCCTTAGGCAGATTGGCCCAGCTGCAAAGTCATTGCTACATCGAGTTTCTCTGACAGCAAAAATGGCATGTCGCAAGTTGACACCCCGCTCAGGCAGCTGGAGCCAAGCTCAGACAGCCTTCCAACAAAATCTTCACTTCCATAACACCACACATAGCGAGGGTTCAGAGTCAAGCCTTGAATGGCTAGCTCATTGCAGTAATGCAATTTTGGAACCATTGACCATTGGCAGGTTTTTTCTTTCACTGCTTTTTCAGCCAGGAACTGGTATGTTTGCAAAGCAGCTTCCATGTGACCCAAGGCTGCCCTTGCTTCTTGTTTCTCAAAAACCAGGCCAGAGTCATACACATGGTTGTAGTACATGTCCAAGTGTGCCAGGAGGTCCTTCCCTTTCAAGGAGTAAGTGCTTCCATCACACCAGTCTCTGCAGAGCTTGGAAAACACTGGCACCAAAGTCCTCACCTTAGAGCCAACTTTGACACAAGAGTTCGCAAACTTGGTGGAAACAAAGACCCTTTATGATGCCAAGGGTCCTGGGCAGCCTTCAGGTGTGCCAGGCAAGGGTAGGTGGTACTCAGTGCCTTGGGTTTGGTAAAGTTGTTCAGGGTAAACTTGGACAGTGGCTTGCCATGGCCAGCTTCTCCTTGGTGTTCTTGTATGTAGGCCCAAAGTTTTTTCAGGGCAAGCTGCCTTTGTGCAGCTGGAACCTTGCAAACAACAAAGTCAAAGCAAACATTGCCAATGCAATGGCTGCTGAAGCCCAAGTCCAGCACATGGAGGATGTCAAGGCACAAGGTGTAGATGGAAACACCAGGGGCTTTGAAAATAGGGCGTGCTGGGTTTGTCTGCCTGAGACTATTTCATGCCAATGTCACTGCCCTGTGTGTCCTTCTTGTTTGCTGCTGGTTTCTTTAGGGTACCAGGGATGGCTGCTGTTGTTTCCCACATTTTTTTGATGGCATCCTTGCTGGTTGGCACTTTGTCAATGCTGCCTTGGCTGGAGCATTTCTTGGGTGTGTTCCATTCCATCTCTTCCTGGCTGCTGTCATTGCAGTCAGCTGGGTCATCAGGCTGGTGTGTGTCTGTGTGTGATTTGTCCTTTTGGAGGGTTGAAGGCAAGGAGGCCCTTGCAGGCCCAGGTTCATCATCCACCAGTTTGCTGACCAGGTTTTCCAGCACAGAAATTTCTTTGTCTGTCAAGCCCCTCTTGCACTGTTGCCACTTGACAGGGTTCTTCAGGCGCCTCACATGGCTAAGGATCACCACCATCCTTTCATACAGCTCATGGGAGTAGTTCTTCAGCTGCTGCTTTTGGCACAACTCATACTTGATGGCCAAGTTAGCCAAGGTCTTCTCAGTTTCCACCTGTAGCAGCCTTCCTTGTGGGTTCCTGGGTTGTGTGCTGCAAGCAAACCCATTTTCACAGCAACTAGATGCTAGAACCATAAAATGCAATAAACTTGTATCAAGTACTGTAAGGCAGGTGTCACTTCCAAAATGGTCCGCACCAAAGGTTCCAGAGCCACCACAGCCCTCCCCCTCACTGCAAAAGTTGCAGGCATAGACTTGTAGGGGCCAAAGTCGAAACAGTGCTCCACCCCTGTGCTTCACAGCACCCTTGATGGTTGCCTTCCTTGAAGCATCCCTGGCAAGCTTGAGGGATCTGCTCACTCACCAGAAGGATGAAACAAAACAGTTGGCAGCAATGCCAAAATATATGCTGCAGCAAACAAACCTTTGTGGCACACAGCAAGCACACAACCTGATGAGTCCTCAATTTCAAATGTGCAGCATCTGCACAAACTGTTGGAAGGAACATCACACAATAGCGTGTCAATCAACAAATTCTGCCTGTCTTGCTCCATGTTTGGTGCCTGTGTGTGCTGCCATTGCATTTGACCATCTGCAATCCTATCCTTAAGCTTTGCATTTGACAATCTGCTCAAGCTTGTCTTGCTCTGGCCTTTTTTGCAATCCTGCGTGGACTTTTCAGTCCACCCCTGACCCCGTTGGACTTTGCAATCCTTCGTTGGACTTTGCAGTCCTTCCTTGGACTTTGCAGTCCTTCCTTGGACTTTGCAGTCCCAAGTATAGGGGACCAAGCTAGTGTTCATCCCCGCCCCCAACAAGCTCAACCCTCACGAGCTGAATGTCTCGACCGAGGCCTATATCGCTCACCATGCACGGTTTTACACTGTCATGCAATTCGCTGTCATGTGCGCGTACCGATTTGTCCCGAACAACCAGGTCCCGATCATTATCGGACACAGTGGGCAATACGTCCCGGAAGGGAACGTCGAGCAGATTCTTGGCGTAATGGTCAGCTTCATCCGGGCATCGTGGACGAAGTATGATCCGCAGGGTATTATCAGCACAGGCGAATTGGAAATTCCCCAATTCTCGTCAGGCCGCACGAAAAGCTATCCCATCGAAGCAAAGAACACCCATGCCCCAAGTCTCGGGTATTGGTTTTTACCAATATCGCTCGGTTTTCAAAAAGGAAACCAATCCTCGCTCGGTAATTTACAAATATTGGTTTTTCCCATCTTGCTCGCTCGAAAAAAATGAT